GACCGCTATTCGATACCGCACATCCAGGACTTCACGGCATTGCTGCATGATTCCACTGTATTCAGCAAAATCGACTTAGTAAAGACATACCACCAAATACCTGTCGAGCCTTGCAACGTACGGACGCGTAATGCTCCTCAGCTGAGCTCGTATTTGGCAGTACACTGAGGCTTCCTGGACAGTCTTTTGACACGTCACCGTTATCATCATTGGACATAGCTGATTACCCAGTCGCCACAGGAATGCCATGAGAGATGTGTCCCCTATTCCTGCACGTCAACACTCACGCCCAAGTTTCATAAGTCGTGCGCTTTGCGACGGCATCTACGTCTTCCGTACGACATGACGCAATCAGACCATCACTGCAACCTCCTTACGACGAACCCTTTAAGGTCGTCAAGCGTTGCCCGAAGCATTTCGTTCTGCTGTTTAATGGATGCAAAGACAGTGTCTCTATTGACCGCATAAAGCCGGCTTTGCTCGACACTGACGCTGTCCTCGAAGACTACAAGCTATCCGCGAAAACCAGAACAATGCGCTTCGCTTCAGCAGAACCTACAACCTGCTCATAGGGGTCGCTTCTTCACGCACTGGCTACCTCGCTAGAAAGGGGGCCTTATGGCAAGCCGTCAGCGTCTCGAAAAAGACGAAGAAGTTGTGCCACAGCTGCTCCATGTGTTCGATCCAGGGGAGAGAAGGAAACGCTATCAAGAACAACAGTGTCTCTGGACGTCCAGGCCAGAGCAAAGATAAACAAAAAATGTAGGAAACCAAGCGCTGCACATCTTCTTACATATTTCCTCAGAGCAACACAGTGACTTGCTTTTTGCTCTGCTTATCTTCGCGGCACTGTTTGCTTTTGAGGTGAAGCGTCTTTTCTGGTAGCATTTCATAAAAGAGCTGAGCCTCGTTCACATTGTACATGTTGGACGCAGCGTACTTCTTGATGAAGTCACCTAGCGTTTGATGCTATCCACGAAGACGTGGCGTCGCAGTCTGCAGAAGCAGTCTCTTCACACAGCATCTTTCTGACAATCTCATAGTGCTCCTTAAATCGATTGAGCCATCGAGCACTTGCCTTGAAGTTTTTATTTATTTATTTATTTATTTCACAATACTGCAGGCCAATGTGCTGGCCCAAGCAGGAGTGGATACATCAAAACGTAATTGTAGAAAACAACAGACAACAATGCAAAAGAAACAAAAGGTTAAGAAAGAAGGTGACGCTCAAGGTCACCAAGAAACTTATTAGAATGAAAGATGTCACACGGCAAACAATTCCAGTCATCGACAGTTCTAGGAAAAAAACTATATTTAAAAGCATTTGATCGGGCAAAAATTGGGGTTAGAGCATGTTCATGACCATGACGAGTACGTCGTACTGAGAGCGATTTAACACAGTCAGGGAGATCAATTTTTACAATACCACACAAGCAATTGTAAAGAAAGGAAAGACGACTGAACTTTCTCCGAGCTTCTAAAGTAGAAATGTCGTTTAATTGCATTAAGGTGGTCGGGGAATCAAACCTACGATATTTGCCAAAAATAAACCTTACAGCCTTTCTGTTAATACGTTCCAGACTCATAATATCTTTCTTGGTATGCGGATCCCAGATAATAGAAGCATACTCAAGCTTAGAACGAACACAGGCATTATAGGCTAGAATTTTAGTACGCGAGGGTGCAGATGCTAGTTTTCTTTTTAGAAACCATAGCTTACGTAATGCACAAGTGGTAATATCAGTTATGTGGGTCGACCAAGTTAATTTGCTTGAGAGTGTGACGCCCAAGTACTTATATTTGTCTACATTATTTATGTTAGTGCCTCTTAGAGTATAGTGGAATTGACTAGGACGTAGCTTCCTGGTGATGCGCAGAAGCACAGTTTTGTTAGTGTTTAACTGCATGCCCCCGTTCTGACACCAGTTATCGATAGCGATAAGTGCATCTTGTAAAGCCACATGATCACTCGGTGAGGAAATTTGCTTAAAAATGACGCAATCATCCGCGAACAAACGCACGGACACATTTTCAGGAATAAGAGAAGCTAAATCATTGACATAAATTAAAACCGTTAATGCCCAAAAACGCGGGCGTAGTTTAGTGCTTTCTGCTGAATTAGGCTAATGCTGATCGGTATTTTCCTTGCCCTCGTTTCGCAAAACCAGTTATAAACTGTTTTTTCAAGTTCTTCATGAGATGGCTGGGTCATCTTCTTCTGTAGTGCTAATTTGCTCGACGCTAGCACATTTAAAATGCTCGCTTCAGACTTGTGTATTGACGAAAACGAGCTCGGCAAGATACCCTGCTTCTCGGCGATACATTGCTTTTTTCGTCCTACTGCTGACATGGTAATTACTTCCGCCTTCTGTTCTAGATAAAGAAACTTGTGTCAAGTTCTCACTCTGTGGTGTCGCCATAAGCCTTCGTTCTTTTAGACCGAGGAAAAAAAATACAGATTAGAGCTTACATTGTGCTGGACTACTGATCTACTGAGCTAACGAGACGAGGCACAGGGTGGGGACTAACCCGGACTAACACTGCTAAAGCCACAGAACAGGGAAAAAAAAAAAAAGACGAGCCAGCAGCCATTATTTAACGTGTGGATTCGGCTCGGCTTCAGCAGGCCGAGCTCGCAGACTTTCATGGCATAACTCTATGCTTCACGGAATGCTGCATAGCATTGTCATCAACCACAAACAATGGTGTCCCCCATGGTGTCCTGGTTTTGTAGCATTTGGCGAGTTACGTGGATTTAGGTCAACTTTGGTGCATTCACAATCACTTTAGCTGTCTGATAACCAAGAATGTAGACTTTGTAGACTTTGTAGACTTAATGTAGACTTTGAATGTTGGCCAGCTAATAAGAATTTCTCGTTAGAGACAACGTGAGAAAAAAAAATGCAAAAACAGCCGCTCTCAAGTGTACTTTTTCTTTTTTTCCTGCCGTTTTTAAAGGGCCACTCACCAGGTTTGACAATTTTGAGCTGACAAGCGAAATGCGTAGACGAGGCGTTCATGATCACGTCTGCCAAATTTTGCAACACTACGCACCGCAGAAATGGGGGAAATTTCAAGATGAACGCTTCTCCCCGTGCCTTCTGCCGGCGTGCGCCCAGAAAATGAGGGTATGACGTGCACGTATGAATGGCCCTACATACATGGCAATGCAGTGACGTTGGTCCTCTACGTAGACAACTCTGCTCTGACATTGCGAACAGTGGCACGTGACCTGGCGAAAATTATTTAACACGGCATGGGTAGTTTATATACTTTCTTGCTTGAAAAAATAGATAAAACTATAGATAAATAATGAGACGCAATGAGGCAATGTGAGCGTCATTTTCCATTTTTCTCCCGTGATTTGCAACAAAATGCGGGGCTAATGTGTCGGCGTTCTGCATGCGTTTTGTCCCGGTGGTTAGCACATCGAGCAGACAATCGCCATGGAACACTACTACGCGTTCGCGCACTCATTGGGCTCATCTATACTACCGCGTCTAAGCCAGCGTTTTCATATCATCCCGCAGAAACACACAGAAGACCACAAAATAACTCTGGTGAACAAAGCATTGCCACTGGCGTGCTCGGGGGTTGGGCTTGTTTAGGCACATCATATGCATGTGACCTCTTGGTCAGATGCCGGAGAGAGTAGGGAATAGATTTGGCTTGCGAATGCTACGCGGAGAAGCGGCAAGGGTTTCGAGCTCGCCTCCTCTCATCCTCGTTTCGTGCCGCTTCAAAAAACCCGTTTTCTCCACTGGTGATGAACCGCTTCAAAAAATTTTTGTGTCAAAATGTTTTTCATTGGACACCCAACAACTTCCACTGTCTAACTAAAATTTGGTATTGGGCCTGGTGAGTATTCCTTTAAGGATAAAAAGTGTTGTCATTTCAATTTACTAGTTAGCGTGGTTTGATTTGTGGCTGGTGAAGTAACTCGTGTCACGGGAAAATTTTGTTGAACCGGGAGAACAATAATAAAGTGGTTCATTGCTTCTTTCTTTTTGCCCTGTAAGTTTTATTCCAACCTGTAGGTATAATGCCAAGGAACGTTGATATATGCATGTCAGTTGTTACTTAAAGTTATGTGTACCGTGTGAGCAACACACACGTGGTCTTGTGAATGTATCTTATTTCAGTCTGGTTATTTCTAGTGCACTCTTTAAATACCAGAACTTTACAATTTATCCATCAACATTATTGATGGACATTGATTCCTAATGCATCTGTGAAATATTTACTGATCCTTTACCTTTTAGGCAACCAGGTGGTATCTTTCTGTTTATGCCAAAGGTGTTGTGGCTCTAAGGATAATTATACTGACGCTTCTGAGCTGCTCAACTGGTTCAACAGCGGGACAGGTAGAAATCGTAGAGAGGAAGTTGTAGCTGAGCACTGAAGTTACAAATGAATCACACAGTAATGTTCCACACGTTGCCAAGTTTATGTGATCTGCGAAGCGCTGGCATGGCACCGTAAATATGAAGTGTGAGGGCCGTGTGCTTGTTGAGGCGGCCGTTGCGGCATGCACAATTTTCTGACGAGTGCTTGCGCACCCTTCGGCAGCGCTCGTGTGCTTGAAAAAAATCTGTTGGTAGAGGCCCAAAAAGACTTGTATTCGATCCCTGGGCTAAGACAAGTTTTTCTTTGAGTAAAAGCATTCCTTTCCGAAAAATCCTTCTGGATTTTCTTTTGGCCTTCTTCCGCCACCTTTCTGAGAAATTATTTGCAATATGCCTAAACTGTTTTGTTTGCAAACAGTCTATATGTTGTGTGCCCCTTGGTTCCCATCTGTCTTCTATGTTAATCAACTGCAAATCTTATCTGTTTGTGCCACGAAGGGAATGAGTGCTGGTGATGAGCAGGCAGCTCCTGCATAGCTTAGTCCGCGGGCTGCCTGCCCATTATACACTTCGTCTCGCAGGGCACACGCTGGCTGAGCCAAACTTGCTTGTAACAAGCTGAGGCGCGTCTGCAGTATTTATATGTCGTCGTAGGTGGTGACCAATCTGCTTGCCGAGCAGCATGCGGACATGTTTGTGGAGCAAGTGCAGGACATTGTGCAGCAGCTCAAGGAGCACCCTGAGCGACTGCCCATTGTGGCCAGCCAGCCCACCGATGGGGTAAGCCAAATTTTAGTTTTTCCTCTCACTCGTGCTTATTAAGCAGCTGCTGTTCTTTCAGCGCCTCAGTTTTGAAAACATGGAGAGCAGCAGCATTGTGCCAGCAGCCATTCGCCCGGCTGACAAGGAATTGAGCGAGCCACCTGGGTCGTGCCAAGGCTCGCCAGTGCGCCAGCCCTTGACAGCTCAGCTTCAACAGGTATGCCCAACACTTTGGCTACTTGGGCACATGCCTGCTAAGCAGTATTGGATTTGCTTCGAGCAGGTGAGTTTTGCTCTGTCAGGGTGCACGGAGAGGGAACAACATGATCATTTGTATTCAGTGGTGACTGTGGAGGGGGTGTTCGATCAGAAGTCTATGGTAATAGAAAAGTTCATTTCACAGTGAAACCTGCATCAAGCTGTGATCACATATAAAGTGTAGCATTGTGATTTCTAGGAGGCATAAATTGTAAATTTTAGGTTCAAAGTGGATTCGAGTCCTGTGATATTCTTTCGAGTATTCCACATGCTCAAATATTTGCGCACTGGCTATTCAATTAATTCTGAAGCATTGTCACGATTCATCTCGGGAGTGCTTGCTAAGGATTGAGAGAAAAATGGAGACGGGAGTGGCCGACGAAACACACACCTATACACTCAAGGTAATCAGGAAACACGGATATACAATTAACATAGCACAAAACGGAACCAAACCTGAGCTGACAATAAGTCACTTTAGGGTTGCCTCTAGCCCTAACCAGTATATTGCCAAGGTGGCGCTTCGGTAACCAAACATTCTTACAGTTCACCATGTTAAGTCTGTCGTCGACGTCCTTCACAAGCTCCTAAAGTTGCCGTTAGTTACTTCCTCACAACGAGCTGCTTGTTTCCATCGACGGTATCCCAGTCCTCTTCGTTGTCTTCAGCCTAGCCAGGTTAGACCCATCTTATGACGGGGTGCTCTGATGACTGTGGTGTGGGCTGCTACTGTCCTGGGGCGAAGTATAAGAGCGGTAGGCCCACCAGAAACTGCTGTGAAAAGGTGCAGCAAGTGCAGGCAGCCTCGCTCGGGTCTTCTGAGGACGATGGCTACTGCTTTCGTCGATGTAGCGATGCTGACTTTCCCTAATCTTCGCAGTTCGAAGCCCCACGGCTTGGCTCGTGCGCCATGTGCTTTCCTTCAACCATACATGGATGTGGCGGGTATGCAGACCATCGTGGCTTCGTACACCATCGCTGCATTCCGATGTTTGGCACGTGCCCATTTACTCATAACATTGACCCTCTTTGCTTCTTGTTAAAGGACTGCCTATTTCTTTCTCCTAGGGCTTTCTTTCTGGTAACGTCTTGTGATTCCTCGTACACGGGCTGGCTTATAACCTTATCTAGCTACACACTTCCCCTTGTCATCATCATATTAGCCCAGAATTCACTACACCAACACGTTGAAAACGCAGACATTCTTCTCATAGTGCATGGTCCAGAACACCTTAGTCCTCAAACTCTACAATACCACTTCACACTCTTATAATGCCACTTGACTTGCAACTTTTCTGGTCTATTTTCACAAATTGACCTATGTCTTTGTGCACGTCTGGCCAAGACGCTTTCCTAGTCGATTTCCTGTGTAAGCTCTTTGGATATCTAAACCCATTCGCATAATGATGTTCTAGGATGACCTGCCTCTAGCAGGCGGGCGCCATCAGTTGTGTAATTTAAATTCCGGTTTCCAAAAGTGACAGAATATTAAACTGCTTGACTGATTCATAGGATACTGCCTCTCTATACCCTTTTTTTCTTGGTTTGTGCCTGATCTTGTTTATGGATACCTCAGGGTTCTATCCTTCCTCTGCGAGCTCCTCTGAGTATACACCTAAACATTGGCAATTCACTCACTCTTTGCCCTTGACCACTTATCTGGGCTTGTCCTTGCTTCTTTTTTTATATCCTGATTTTCTTGCTTGGCGTATATACCCTCTTCACTTCACTTCAGTTTATTACCTTAAAGACCCCCCCTAGAGGGGGTATTACATAAGGGGTGGGAAACACACAACAAATGTAATACATATGCAAAATGGGTACAAGCTACGTATATTAGTTTAGATTACAGAAAAGGAAAGGCTTGTTTTAGGTGTTGTAAACTTAACACGTTTTGTTTGTTTTTTTGGACGACGGGGCGATTGCTAGGAAATTTTGTTTACAGTTTGGGAATTTTCGTTGAAAACGTATCTTTTTTTACCAAGAAACAAAGTCTTGTACCGCACAGAGAAGGGCTCAGATTTCGTACGGGCAAATTCAACAAGATGCTTTCGGGCTTTTCGAACGGATTCAGAGAAATCTTCCCCAATACTGTAATTAGTACCTTTTAGTTTGCGTCCATTCGAGAGAATTTCCTCTTTGGTTTTGAAAAAAGTGAATTTGGCTATTATAGGCCGCTTGTGATCATGCCGGTGCCGACCAAGGCGGTGAGCACGTTCAATAAGTTTAGGGTCAAGAGTTAAGTTTAGGTGGTCGCGACAGTGGTTAATAAGTATTTCTTCGGAGTCTGAAAATTTTTCGGGCGGGTTCGGATCAGGGAGGCCGTAAAAGATGAGGTTATTTCTTCTGAAGCGATTTTCGGCGTCATCAACCCGCGCCTCCAGTGTCGCAGATTTGACGGGCCATTATTGCGGTGTTACCATTAATTGTTTCAGACATCCTTTCTTAAGTGTCACAAGACCTTGGTAGTGAACTTCAAGCTCCGTAATACGTTTAGTTAGATCAGCCATGGCTTTGTTTGTTGTTAGTAGTGCAGATTTAAGTCCCTGCACTTTCTCGAGCAGTGTAGACTGACCCGTAGATAACTTTTGCAACTCGGAAAGAATAAGGCTTGCTGGGAGGGGGTCTTTAGGTGAACGGTCCTTAGGGAGAGAGTTTGGGCCAGGATTGGATTCCACATCCCCCGACAGAAGTAAGAGAGCACGAGCGACATTCACGCATAGAATGGCAAGGGCACAACAGCAATGTGGGCTCGGTAGCTGTACCAAAAAATAATTGCTATTTCGTTTAGGGAACAGGTCATGTGGTACACTAACCTGCATTGCGAAGACGAAAGGGTTAGTGGACCGTGCGATGGCACAGCCACAGGAGCCCACAAAGCTTGACGGGTGGTTGCTGACAATTTATAGCTGCTGTCGTTGAACTGGTTGATGACGGCGGTGATACGATGATGACGTCGGTGGTCCCGTGATTTGCTGGCGGCGCTGCAGGACAGCCGGATGCGTTTGCGGCACGCATGAGAAGGACGGTGTCATACCTGGTGCCGAGTCGCTCTCGGCACGATAGCTAGCAGAGCAAGAACCAGCAACTGGGCGATGATAGGGGCGAGCACCTGCATTGCGAAGACGAAAGGGTTAGTGGACCGTGCGATGACACAGCCACAGAGCCCACCCTTCACAATCCTGACCTATTTCATGGAGTGACACCATATATTGGGGTCTTCCATGCATTTGGCTATGATTTTGTCAATGAAATAGAGTATGTCCTCTTGGATCAAAGACCACAGTTCAGTTCCCAGTTTTTCTGCAAAGCTTTTCTTATTTACAAGGCTTTTCCTGATTACTTTAGTATCCCCACCAGAATCCACCAACACTTGTTTGCCGTTCCCTTCTGTCACTGGCTTAACACTGTTCCTGCCAACACTATGCTAACAATCTCAGGCTTTTCTTCGACCTGACAGCACATGCAGTGTTTTCGCCTGACCTAAACCTACACTCATCAGCCTTTGTTTTTGCCTTAGTGTGGCCACATGGTTGTGAAAGCTGAAGTGTTCCTTTTCCAGTGAAAATTCAGTCGCGAGTCAGCACTGTGGTTTGTCCCTCCTTATTTGTGCGCTGTGTTAAAATATGTTAAAATATGTTCAATGCCTCCCTTTTTTTTTGGCGTAGCTCGCATGTTACAGGCGTTTCCTCTCGGCAACTGCTCGTTTGGCAATGCATGGCTTTAAACCCTTGTTGATTGCATAGCAAACATGGCTGCTATGCTGTTGCCTTGGAGCCTCACTTCTCCCCTCTCAGGGTTTCCGCTCGCCCGTTTTTCGAGAGTCTCTTGAGCTTCTAAATACAGCTCTGCATGTTTTGTCCATGTCCTATGTTGTGTGTAGCTCTTTTTCTTCGAAAATACAACCAACTTGCTGCTACACCGGGATCAGGAACAAACCCCTTTATAAGTTTTCTCTGTATTTCAATCCAGCAATCCAAATATTTACCTAGCTGGCACACAAGCTGCTTTCCAGTTTCGGAATCTCCAGGCTTATATGTCCTGAACCTTTCTCGTTAACCCTTGGATGTTAGCTGGAACCTTTCAGATCAAGTTTTCTTGACTAGATCGTAATCAAGCGACTCTTGTGCAGGCATGCGTCCAAACACATTTAATGTCAGACTCAAGGCACTGACCCACTCGCTTATTTCCCAGTCTTTCCATATCGCAGTCCTTTCAAAACGATGCAAACAAGCATCCAGGTCATCCCTTCGCTCATCAAAGGGCACACCGTGTCCTTTCTTGAGCAAATCATCTGTGGCCTGGGAACCGGCAAGGTAGCCGCCGCCGTGGGAATACTCGCTCTACTAGTGTCATTACATAGGGCAGCATTTATTTCCACCAATCTCAACATAAGCTCGAGAATATCTTCTTTGCACGTGCTTTCTCTTGTTCAACACACTCCGCATTCTCGAAAAATTTGTTTCCTCCTTGCTCCTCAAGTCTAAGCCCTTGGTCATGACCGCCAACTTCTCACAATCCATCCCAGCAATCATCGGCGGTACGTGACTGGGTCAATAGAAAAGATCTGGACAAGCTCGCCGATTGATGTCAGGATTATCTTGGAATGCTTGCTAAGGATTGGATTGAGAGAGAGACAGACGGGAGAGGCCAGACAAGTACACTTTATACACTCAACGTAACGAGGAAACACACATTCAAAATTAATGTAGCTCAAGGGGGAACCCAAGACTAATCTTACAAGTTAAGTTAGGGTCGCCTCTAGCCCTAACCAGTATATAGCCAAGTCTTGGTACCCAAATGTTCTTACAGTTGGCCGCGTCGACTTCGTGTCATTGCCTTGTCGACAGTTCATCAGGTCTGTTGTTCACATCCTTTGCAAGGCCGCCGTTGGCTGCTTCCGCCTAACGAGCCACTTGTCTTTATCGACGGTGTCCCGGTCGTCTTTGTTGTCTTTGGCCTAGCCAGGTTAGGCCCAACAGATGATGGGGTACTCCGATGACCGTGGTATGAGTCGCCACCATCGTGGTGTGCAGTAGAAGAGCTGTAGGCCCACCGGGACATGCTATGCAAAAGAGCGGCGAATCCGGGCAGCTTCACTCGGGTCTTCCAAGGTAGATGGCCACTCTCGGGTGGCTTTCGTTGATGCAGCGACACTCACTTCCCTGATCTTCGCAGCTCTACAGTACAGCGACACCTCATCTTCCGGGTGCTTTCCTTCAGGCAATCCTATAGTATATAGGATGGGGCAGGTATGCATACCACCATGGCCTCGCGCACCATCGCCGCATTCTGACGTTTTGCACCTGCCTCGTGCCTTTATGACAAGCATGTGCAACTATTTCATCGTGTATGATGCAAGCAGCACCAGATAGCAGCCCTGGCAGGTTCCTTTTTCTTGGAGAACCGCATCAGTGTCTAAATAATCCAATGGTTAATTGTTTTTTTTTAAGACAGAGTTAAAGCACAAGATTGTAGAACAATTTTTTCTCATTTCAGTTTTTTAACATGTTACAGATTTGTGTCCATCATGTGCAGCAATCCTTGATGTTCTGAAAATTGTGGTTTCAGCTGTTGTCAAGTAGACTAAAACTTCATCATAACAAAGCTGCATCTTACATGAAAATAAGCTTGTTATATTTGAAAATTCTTTATGAAGGTATATATTTTTAACACTGTACCTATTGCTAGACTATTTTTTATTTACTTTGTTGTATGCATGTTTATTCTATCAAGGTTTAAGTGTACCAGTCACTTGGTAGATCTACAGCCCTTGCCATCACTTCTGAAATAGTCCTCACTTAAGCATACAGCAGTCTGGCAATCCGAGTCGGGGCTTCTGCCTCTTGGAGTTACCAAGGTGTTTGTGCCATTTTAGACAAAGGACGCTGGTAGGGGGAGAAAAAGTGGAGGCAGGCCCAAGGAAGTTATACTAAAACTTAAGAAGTGGTGGAAGAGCTCCGCGGACGATGTTGACGCGCTGCCATATTGCTCAGGGCAAAAAGCGGACCAGTGCATTGTGGCTCGGGCCATCATATGTGACTTCTGCGTTATTTTTGTGATGGTGATGTTGCGTGCGGTGCCTCTAATTGAACAAGGCAGCTGTGAAAGTCAACTGTGATAGTTGTCTGGACAGTGGTGGGCACTTGTACAGCATATGGCTGCACAAATCTCGTGAAGTAAACACTGGGCATAACTTTCCCCATATTACCAGGCATTTTTTACTCCCTTTCTCTCACATATGTTGCCAACTGCGAATGCATTCGCGTGTGCAAATAATTTTCTTTTGCGTGCGGGTGCCATAGAGACACTGTGCAACATATTTTTGTAAGTTTTTAAATTTTCCAAGGACGCTGGATCGCATAGTACATAGGATCACGCCGTGAGGCGAGAAGGTTGAATGCGCAAAAATAATGATGTCTTGTATGTTCAGAGGACTGGCAAAAAAAACTGGCAGTAACTGTATTCACAGCGTACATGTCCGGCGTCTTTATACAAAAGCCAATGAATACCTTTCGTACAAGTGAGTGCTTCGTTTCTGAAAAGTAATAAATGTGCATTTCTGGGATTTTAGTTTCTTATACTTTCATATGCACTGTGTTTCGAATGCTAAAATTTCTCACTCTGTTGTGAAAGGCCTCTTTTTACGTAGAAGAAAAAAAAGCGAGCTTCTCCATAAAGCCAGGAAACGCCTTTGCCTCCTGTGATTGATGGAGCTGCAGTATTTCCTCCCCCCTGCCTCACACCGGCTAGAAATTTCACCCGCGAAGGATTGGCACAGGCAGAAAGCGCATGAATCGCCAAACGAAGTATATCAGCTGAGAAACAGGGCTCAGGCATTGTAGCAGAACAAATAGAGACTTTCAAACCATATTGATGCTTCTCAGAATTTGGTTGACCAGCTAAAAGAGCAGGATCTTTTATCTGAGATTGGATTGCATATTTTCCAAGCATCATTTTTTTCCGGATATCCAGTAGCTCCTCAAAGGAGTTTATGAACAGACGTACAAATATTACCCAGAGTTAAGAGTATTTTCACTGATGCTGCACTATTATTCGCCAAGCACGTGCGAGTGAAGCTCATCAATGCTGTACCAAAGCAACGCGCTCTTCGTGATTCGTAAAGGCGGTGGATGGCTTCACCTCCGAATCGTTTGAGTTTATTAAGAACATGGTGGAAGTGTTTCATAATGGTTGACAGCATGTCTATTTTAAGAGTATGTACACCTTGTGAGCCATAATGTTTTTGCAGATGTTGACTTGGGCATGGGCACAAGTGCTAGATGCCCTTTCATAAATTTAATTTCATTGTATTTTCTCACGTGGTACGTCTGCAATGAGGCAAGCTAGACAACTGCAGTGTACTATTTTTAACACACTTAAAAGAGTTATGTGCCAACGGAAAAATGAGTCGGCTCTATGTTAAAGTCACTCCAAGGGTTCCTCGCTTCCTAAGAAAAGTAAAGAGAGGCACTTTCATTGCTACAGCAGAATGCATGGCCGCAAGTGCAGTAGCAAACCTGCAGTACAAGGCACTCGCCGCCTCCTGCCTGAGCAATATGGCCCCTGCAGCTTCACTTCGATCGGGTATGTGGCACTGCCACTCCAGAAGTTCCAGTATAACCTTCCTGGGCGTGTCGAACTTGGAATCAGTGCTGTTGGCCTGGTCATAGTGCATCAACGCTACGTGGCGTCTTACTGTTGATCACTATGCATAAAGAGCGCCATCTAGAGTTCTTATTATTATGTTGCTGCGTTCTTGGTTTGGATTCCTATTTAAAGGTCGTGACAGCCTTGTACCATGTGCATGCAGGATAAAAACTATTTTTGCAGTTGTTTAGGCTGGTTGTAGTTTCAGGCTGCCACTGCTGGTCATCTGGCACCGAGCCCTGTGGAGGAGCACGAGCCCACGTTGTTGCCACCCTTGCAAAGCAGTGGCCCTCCTCAGGTGGTTGCCATAGTGCAGCCCCCTACGCCAGTCACCAGGCTGCTTCCCGAAGGGGATTCCAGTTCACGGTTGACTTCACCATGTGGCGACGACACACTGAGCTGCTCTTCCTCCACTGCTTTGACGGCTAGCATCACAACCCCTTCCTCTTCTACAGCTCCTCAAGTAAGCATACCCGCTGTTAAGAACAAGGACCCACGGTCTTCTCTTCATAAGTGCTGGATCTGAATCCAAACTTCGGTCTCCACCTTCCTTTAGTCTCCTGTGCCTCCCCCCAAGCCCATGCTCCCCCCCCTCTTTTTTCTTTCAGAACCTGCTTTTAAATTATTTCAAGTATTGTGATCAGTGCTAGATGGCATATAACATATGACTCTCTTCAGTCTTTCCTTTGTTAAATTTTTTGGTCCACTCTTTTTAAATACTTTGTCATTTACAGTCAATTGGTTCTAGTGTACCATGTGATTTTGATAGGCTGCTGTCTGCTTGCAGCCACGTGGAATGTCAAAGTGTTGAAACTTTTCAGACAGTGCGAGAAATTAAGTGCTTCATTTTATAAACGCACAAAAGCTATGCTACAACGCATATTGAACAAAATAAGACAAGGCCGGAAAAGGAACGACAAACATGGACGTTCAAGATGGAAGCATAACAACTCATCCAACCATCCATTCTGATACAACGCAAACTGCATACAAGTTACATCCAAAGGACCAATCAAGAGCTGCTTTTGTGTTGGACATTTCTTGAGGTCTTCCATGTCAGGGCAAACAGGCATGCATATCTACACTATGCTCAAAAAGCATGTGTCGATTCCAAATGATTTTACTCCAAACTACCCCTTCAGTCAGTTGTCCTTTTTTTTTAAGCTGCCAAGCTAATTGAGAGTGTACCATAAAAAAACAAGCTGTCATTATTTTTCTCCAATAGAGACCGCTTACAAGATGAGTAACAAAGCATTGCATTAAATACTAGAGCCATGCAAATAGCAAAATTGTCGGTGCCAAGAGAGTTTGAATGTTGAACTGTGAGTGCGACTTGAATGGAATATTTTTAGAATATTTCTAGAATATTTTTCAATTTTTAGTGAAATTGCAGAGAAAAAAGTCGAACAGGATTCCTAAGCATATGCTTGTGAAGGAGCAACTTGAAAGTGTTTCTTTTGGCTAGGTTGATGAAGCGCTGGCGGGGTGATGTTTCGTAGTTGTCTTGTTAAGAGTTAGACAATGCAGAGGCCAAATTGTATTTAGGTACACGATTCAGTGCAACTGAAGTGTTGTCAACACATTTTGCACGTGAATGTTGCCCCGCCGCGATGGTCTATGGGCTAAGGTACTCGGCTGCTGACCCACAGGTCGCGGGATCGAATCCCAGATGTGGCGGTTGCATTTTCGATGAAGGCGAAAATGCTGTAGGTCCATGTGCCCAGATTTAGGTGCACTTTAAAAGCCCCAGCAGGTCGAAATTTCCGGAGCTCTCTACTACGGCGTCTCTCATAATCATATGGTGGTTTTGGGACAATAATCCCCACATATCAATCAACACACATGAATGCTAAAGATGCTACTTCATCAGCCTCTCTTTTTCCTTGAACTTTTGTGGAAGCCCAACTGATATGGTAGACAAGGGCATGCTCCTTTCAAGTCTGGAGTTCCAAGTACTGTATTTACTCGCCTAACTTTCGCACACTTTTTTTCGCGATTTTGGGGTGCTGGAAAGGGGGTGCGCAAATTACGCGAGGACTTGTCGAGCACATACGAAATATTGTGTCACAGTCCTAACGCACGCAGTATATACATTTAAAAAAAGAAGAAATAAATTGGAGCACAAACGAAGCGTACTTCTAATTTAAGGGGGGAGGTGGCGATCGAAAAAAATTTTTTTGTTTGTTGAGCTAGAGTAATGAAATTTGGCAGGCATACTGAAGAGTGTCTCGTATAGCTATATATGAAGTTTCATTGCGATATCTCGAGTAGTTTTCAAATTACACTATGTTACATAATCTGATGACATAGTCTGCTGGTGAAAAGCCTAGCATTGTAACAAAACATGCCAGGAAGGTCCAAGTGGTTTTGATCTTTACTCAAAAGAACACTACACAGGATGACATTATCAAAAATTGTCTATTCCTTTTAGTTTTTTTACAAATAACATCCCCATCAGCTTCATGTATTGCATCAGAACTTCTCATGCACTAGTTAGCACATGCAAAAAAAACTAGGCCCTAAGCAAGGTAAAGAATAATGTCATCCTGTCAACAAGACTTCAAGGATTAAAAAAAAAAAAACAGCATCAAAATCGGTTCAGTCACTGCCACGCTACACTTTTCACAAGCAACACTAAGTGCCCAAAACACACTTCAGAGAAAATGGCTTTCAAAGTTTTTGTAGCATTTCACCTTCATCAAAATGCACCAGAACAGTAGTCTTTGGTGTCCATGCCTGCAGGTGGCCTTTTGGTCCTCTGTTTCTTCATCTGGTGCATGTTTGATGATTTTTTAGCCTGCTGGCTGTCCTTCTCTGCAGCCCTCTGGAGGGCAACGTCCCCAGGTTTTACACCTAGTGCAGTGCAAATCTCGGTGTAAGCTCGCAAGCTGCCTGCATTGTACTTTGCAACAGCTTCATGCACTGCTGCTTCCACAGTGAAGAGGGAGGCATGCTGCTGCTTGGATATCAGTGACCAAATCGCTGAGTGGAGGCTCTCGGCAGCATTTTGAGTCTTGTTGCCGCTACATCAAGCCAGCAGTAGTGGGTTGGAAAGGCATTGGTAGATGGGTTGCAGTGCTTCTATAACCTTGCTAGGAAGGTTGTACTTGTGTGGAGGTGGTGACTTTCCTTCTGCTTCTGCTGAACGGTGCCTGCACCAGCTGAGGGCACCAGGAGGACACAGCTGATGATGGGGCTCGGCATCAGTGGATGAAATGTGGTGGAGTCTTGCCATCACCGCCCTTTACATATCTTGCACATCTGTGTTGCTTCGCAGGGCTAGGCCATAATAGCTGGTGAGCCTCTTTGTAAGATCTTGCGTAAGGCATGAAATATGTGAATAATTTTTTTTTTTTGAAAAGCTGGCAAAATATTAGGGGGGCCCAAATTATGCGAGGGCGCAAATTATACGCGTAAATACAGGATGCCTTGTAGACACCCATATTATTGCAATAGCAATTATATGGACACTCTCGGCTGGATTTCGCCATCGCGTGGGCATCAACGTCATGCACCATATATGTACACGTATCTATATATATTGTTACGTGAGTAACTAGTCAATATATTGCAAACATACTTACCAAATTGCAAATATATTTACAAAATATATTTGCAAGAGCAGTTGCAGCGCTTGCCAGTCTGGCTCCACGCTCAAGCAGCAAGTGACCTTCATTCTCTCCGTCGGGCGCACATGCGCATTGACAATATGCATTGCAGCAGCCTACATGTAGCAGAACCCCCGCCGGCAAAGGCGCCGTCTCGGTGCGTCTAGACGTCAACATCATTGGGCGAGTGGTACTGCTTCAGGCGTGTGACGTGTATGATGTCACTGGCCCGAGGGGTGGATGAAGACGACTCAGCAGCAGGAGCGATTTCACAAGTGACAGCAGTTCATGAGAGTTGCGATGAGGGCTTGGGCCACTTCTCGGGACTAATAGCAAGCAGCAGAGAAACTTACTAAAGATGACGGTAGTCGCCGCATGGAGCACTCTGTATGGCCCCGTGTACCGAGTGAGCAGTTTGTCAGACAGGCCAACACACTTGGTCGAAGACCACAGCAGAACCAACAAACCGGGTGAGAAGTGCACATCGCAGTGTCGTTGATCATACCGACGTCGTTGGTTTTCTTGGGAGGTCAGAAAAAGAGCATGAGCGGCTCCGTGAGCGTAAGCGGCCCGGCTGATGGCGTCCAGGGCATATTCTGCGGTCGGAGCTGCTGGCAACGAAATGACTGCATTGAGGGGCAATGTGGGTTCACAGGAAAAATGGGGTGTAACCAGCTGTGTTACGGCGCGAAGAATTGTATACAAATGTCACGTATGGTGAAGCGAGGTACCAGTCAGAGTGGCCTGAGGAAATGTACTTTGAAAGCATGCCGGCAAGGCTTCGGTTCAGACGCTCCATTAGGCTATTTGTTTGCGGATAGTACGATGTAGTGAGCTTGTAGCACGTTGCACATGAGTGTAGGATGTCTGCTAAGACTGTCGTTAGAAATGTGTGGCCTCGGTCTGTGAACAGTTGGCGTGGAGCACCATGTTGCAAGATCACGTCGCGTAAAAGAAAATCAGCGACGTCTGTGGCGCAACTTGTTAGAAGGGCGTGGGGTAGCGTAGCGTGTGGCGTAGTCAGTGGCCACAGCTATCCACCTATTTCCAGCAGAAGACAGGTGAAAAGGACTGAGTAAGTCCAAACCGACGCTAAAGAAAGGTTCAGAAGGAATGTCGAGTGGTTGAAGGCGCCCAGCCGGAATGACATTCCTCACACGCCGCGATGTATCTTCTGACAGAGCGTGCGAGACCTGGCCAATAAAAGCGATGGCAAATCCGGTCGTATGTGCGGGACACGCCGAGGTGACCAGCAGTAGGAACATCGGGAAGTTCGTGGAGTACAGCCGAGCGGAGGTGTTCGGTATTAGCCCCGGGAACGAACACTGGCGTCGCTGCAATCACGGTGAAGTGACGCCACGGCAAGGACTCGTCTGCTCCGCCGCCGACGCATGCCATTCATTGCTTTTTTGCGAACCCACCGTGTACCCGCTCTTCACCGTTTGTCATTTCCTCTCAGTTTCGAGTAGTAGATCACTAAAGGTACAAAGTAAAGGTATTTACTAAAGGTACAAAGTAAAGGTATTTATTGATGTTAAAAGTTAGCTAGGCTGCAGAAAGTATGGATCCATTTTGAAAATGAAGGTGGAGGACAGCGAGACAATGGTTGTTTTCACCATTCACGTTCTCGGAGGAAATCAATGCTAATAATATTCATGCTAAATGGGCTTGAATTTATTACAACTTGGCATAGACTACGAGAATAAACATTTGTGTCATAGTATTACTAATGAAATTAGAAAGTTTTCAGTTTACTCACAGCATTGCGATTTACTGTGCAAGTTATGTCGGCATCTGCGAATAATGTAGCTCATTAGACAGAATTCCGCTTTGGAATGCAGGAGACTTTAGATAC